ATATATATATATATATATATATATATATATATATATATATATATATATATATATATATTTTTTTTTACAAAATTTCAATGTTGAATATGCCTCCATGCTGATTCAGCTTAAAAAAACCCAATACTTAATTTTCCCACGGCTGCATAAGAACTGTGAGAAACAGACAAACATGTTTAACAATGCCTTCGCTCCAGCTGTGCAACCTCAGTCCCCTGCGACTTGTGTCGGTGTAAATTAAATATGTGGCTCCGTAGCAGCAGAACGCGCTCAGCCAAAGGTCACAGACCAGAGCCACAAAGTGTGTTCATCCTCAATTCTTTTGCTGCGAACCGAGCCCCAGAAACGCCAGGCCCTCCAGGATTATAAATCCCTATTGATCAGATTAAAAATGGTGCCCACAGTGCAATAGGGGGGTATTGGTACTGTATCCATTTGGCCCCTTTGTTGCCAAATCAATTAACGCAGCAGCGTAGATAAGGACGCTTTCATTTTGGTTCTTCAATTTTAAGTCTTTCCCAGAGGCAAATGAATTTTTTTTTTTTTTTCAAATGAAAAGCACCACAAATCGAGATTTGGTTCGTCTACATTTACGATATCCGCCCTCGACATTTCATAGTTCTCAGTCCTTCACGCCTCTTTGTTGTGAATTAGCGCTATATCAATAAATGTAACGGCATTCACCATGAATTTTTGTAGTTACAAAAATTATATTTTCTGTACGTCATACTGTGTATAAAATCTAATCTAGAGTCAAGGTTTTACTTGTAGAGTTTCACATTCCAGGATTGTTCTGCTTACTTTATTTCTATGAAGATTATGACTGAAACTACTCAGTGGGGAGTAGTTTCAGTCTACTCCCCGCTGAGTAGCACGGAGTAGACTGCAACTACTCCCCGCTACTAGTCTACTCAGCGGGGAGTAGACTAGTAGTACTCAGTAGCGGGGAGTAGACTGCTTGCTAACCTGCCAGCAAGCATGGGGGGGAAGTAAAAAGAACAAAAAAGTGAATCTTTAAGAGTAAACATGACAATTGCATTACAAGCGACAGATATATTGAAGGGAGATTACATACACTGAGATTATAATTAGTTTTTACAAGCTAACAACTAAAGCAGCATGAAATAACATCCATCAAGAGAGTATTAATAGCATGCTGCTGCATAGTAAATGAGAATTTTGTTTCATTGTGCACTAATATTTGCAGATGTAAAACATACATGAATGTTTATTTAAATAAATTTGGCTTAGTTATACAGTAAACTCATAAATTAATATGATTAGTAAAGTAAATGTCAGGTACGACTTGAAACAACATGAGACTGGACATAAAAATTGTCTATTTTAAAGCGACCAGCTGTAAATTAATTGTTAGCAAATAAAAGATAAACTATTTTTGAAATGTGCAAGGCCACAATACATATGGCAGGAGTAAAAAGATCTATTTATATATTTCTGTAAGCTATGTCTCCCTGTAAACCATTTATTTGTTTTCTTTTTTATTTACAATGACACCATACCCTGCAGTAAAACACATTTATGTACACATAATTTAAGAAAGGTGTTATTGAGTCCATAGTTAATTTGAACACAAATTATATTAAAAGTGCAAACTTATTTTAACCTGAGTTAAAGTAAGTAAACAGTCGTGGTGATTAGCATCCTTGCTACATTACAGAAAGCTAAAGGCTAAAGTTTGACTAGCTAGCATTAGGTTGTTAGCGATTAAATAAAACGACGAGTTTACCAAACTAAACCTTTAATCATAAAATCTTTAAAACAGTGAAATAACAAAGGATTAGAGTCCGTAGCTAACGCGACAGAGTGGTATTTAAAGGCTAAACACTGCAGCCTCACCATGATGTCCGACTGACTCCTCGCAGTGGTATAAGGAGTAGTTTGGGTTCGGTCCGAACTCACATCAGAACCAACTCCCGGTTCTAAGTAATAAACTCCTAAAGTCCGGATCATCAGTTTACGGAGTCTGTGATGGTTAATCTTCCGCCGGAAGTAATTCCTCTCTAATCTGTCATAAACTGACAAAACATCAACATGGGATAAAGTGATTAGCTAGATATATGATAGTTTCGCACTTATGGAGCACCATAAACGCCTCATGGTCAGGTTATGCCATCTTGTTTTGCTTATGTAATCAATATTAAATCTAAAGCGAAACAAAACACGGACACACCTTTAATGACATCATATGAGGCACAAAGTAGCGGGTCAGTTCTTTAGCATGCTCACTTTTTTATTTTTATTTGTTCTTAAAAACTACTCCTTTGATTCGGTTCACCAGTTTATAACTGCCACTTAGTTTTTTTTTAAATGTATTTACCATTTTAATTAATTGTGGGGCTAAATAGTTAGAAAACGTTCTGTGCAATTTGGTTGGTTCTGATCTCCGTTTGGTCAATTGAGTCCTATAAAATATGTGAGATCAGAACCTTTGTTCAAACCAAAAGACCTCAAGTGATTTACTCATTGTCTTTTTACTAATATCTGACCAGCTGGATTTTTGTGCCTCTTGTGATGTCATTGACCCAGATTCAGTCAAATCGGTTTTTCTTTTCTTCAGAGCTCCTTTTAAAAACTTTTTAAGTTTTTGTACTTCTACAGTGGGAATCCATACCTCATTACCCAGCTACGTTTTATTACCAATGTACAATATTTATTTTAAAAAACAGCACTAGATGGTACCTTTAAATCATAATCATCCGGATCGTCAGCTTGGTCATTCCTTAGTAGTTAATTTTACTCCAGAAATAATTGCCATCTATTTATAATTCATAAACTGCTGAAACAGGAGTGTGCAACATTAGTGTGCATTACAGCATGGTTCAAATGAACGAGTAAAGTACAATAGTGCACAGAAATCAATGTTCACTCCACTCAAATGACTGTTTTTATTACAATAGCTCACAGTGCCATCACCGTTTGCTCTCACAAACTCAAAGGGAATCACCGTTTGCTCTCACAAACTCAAAGGGAATCAAGGGTACAAGGTTTAAAGTGGCTACATGATTAATGTGTTGCTTTCAAAAATTGTAACATGAGTAATAACAGTACATGTCAGATATTTCACCATACTGGCTGATTTAGATTCTTATGGTTCAAGTTCACGGCATGCAGTACAGTCCGATGGAACCATAACACCATTACTGCTACAAACTGAATCTGACAGTAATGCAAATCCGACCCACAACATGAGACACTATTTAGTGCCCTTACAAGCGCTTACAGTACAAAAAACAAGATTTCCTTTTAGTTTTAATGAAGTAAAACTGCAACTTAGGTCAGTTTTGTGTGCATCAGTTTTTTTTTCACATTTAAAATCAGATTAATGAAACTATTTGTTCATAAACCTGCACAAAGATTCTTGTTCTGCAGCTGAAAACCAGAATTTCTCTCTTTGCAATATAATAAAACCAACCGGCCTTGACTAACTGACCAACCCTGAGGTCTGTTCAGGACGAGCAAGAAAACAGATGAGGAATATAACCTACACCTGTGCGTTGGTGCACCATGTGTGAGGAAATAAAATGGCTGTAATTTGTTGTTTTTCAACAAATTTAAAAGTTAAAACATTTGCATTAAAAAAAAAGAAAAAAAAGGAGGGTTTCATTTTCCCAAGCAGTAAAATAAAGAAGTAACCGATAATAGCTTCCTGAACTCCACTCTGTCTTCTTGTTAAGGCAGGTAGGAAGTCAGTGAGGTATAAACTGTCTCTTTAGCTTAGCGTCCCATGGTCGGCATGGTGACAGCAGGGCTTGTTACCGTGGCGTCCTCTGCCTTCCACTGAGACGTCACGGTCTTGATCTGAGTGAAGAACTGAATGCCCTGCAGAGAAAATGGGGCGAATTTGTCGACAGGAAAATACTTTTATGTCTTTGAGATCATTAATGCAAAGCATCTTGGAAAAAATAAATAAAAAAAAAAAAGATAAATTTTGTTTTTGTCTTTTTACCTGCTTGCCGTAGAAGTTGGTGTCTCCTCTGAAGGAACCTCTGGAGCCGGTGAAGGAGAACATGGGTAGAGGGACGGGGATAGGTACATTCACCCCAACCTGTGGAAATGCATTAAACCGTCCATGTTTCACTGCCAAAATGACTGGAAAGCAGCAGGGACAGACAACATACATTTATACCAAATGAATCTCTTTATACCCAAGTGCTGAAATCTGAAATCTGGATTTAGGGATTTTGCAGAATCTAAGAGGATTTGTTGCAAACATTGACGAGAACCAGACAAATCTGAGAACTCCCATTTATAAAGCCGCAACAGAACAAAACAATCTATCTTCCTGATAAGGGGTCATGTTCGATAATTACAACTGCTCACTGGAGCTCTGCTGAGCCGTTTTGCTCGGCGCCGCGTTGTACATTTTGTCGCTCAAATTGGTTTTTTTAGGTCTACCCAACTGCATCCGGAGGCAATTTGGTCCACGTTATTAATAACTCCGCCTAGGAAACCGGCAACAAACGGTGAGGTTCCGCGGCGTCGTGCGTATACAAATTCATCAAGTAATGACAGGCTGAGATGATGATGCAAATGAGCTTCAAGCCATAAACCACTGATGCTTCAGAAATGTTTTCAGCCAGCGGGAAAGCCGATTATCACGACACAACAAACCGCGGCTTCCAAGGTGCGCGACTGAGCTCGACATCGCTAATTCAAAAGCAACCGCGTCTCCATTAAAGCTGAAACGCTTGTTGATTAAACTTAACCCTTGCGTCTTTGTACAAACATCTCTCCCTTTCTCTCACCTGGCCCACATCCACCTCGTGTGTGTATTTGCGCGCCGTGGCTCCGTTGGTGGTAAAAATGGCCGTGCCGTTGCCATAAGGGTTTCTGTTGATCAGAGATATGGCTTCGTCCAAGCTGTCGGCTTCCAGGATTATGAGCACCGGCCCAAAGATCTCCTCCTTGTAGCATTTCATGTCCGGCTGAAAACAACAGACATGATCAGAGTGTGGAAAAAACAAAACAATCTTGAGCACTATTAAAGTGCAAGACTGTTACTAGTATGCTCATTTTGCAGAAAATAATGATGCATAAAAAAAAACTGCACAGTTTCCCTATTTTAGGAGGCTTGGAGGGTTTCATTAGTCTGCAATATACAATGTCTGTCTAATAATAACCATGCTGGAGAGAAGAAAATCTGTATTCTCCTCAACTTAGTTATACAAGTTATAGTTGGACTTTTAAGCTGAATCTCCACCATCGTTAAGCTCTGTGAATTTACCAATTCATGTAAACAGAATCAGGAAAGAAATGGGAAGAGCAGGACAAACTTTCTCATTCCCCTGATGAGCAAAGAGACTGATGGGAGTTTTCTTTCACTTTAGATCCAAATAGGTTTTGCAGAAATGAAAACTTCTTCCTTGGTGATATTATTCTCTTTCCATTTTCAGAACGCCCTGCAGGGACATGCAGCCCCAGAGGAAAATCGTTCTTTTGTACAGTAAAGAATAATAATAGAGACAGCTGAAGTCCAGTTCATCTATAATCGATAATGACTTTAAAAGTATTCACACCCTTTGGACCTTTTAC